AGCAACAAGCTAAAAAAAAGTTTTAGGTTCGTAAACCATTGAGCGATATTCCAGAAGCAGTACCCATTGAGGATATGACTGAGGCATTAGAGATGAAATTTCAAGTACGCAGTTGTTGTCATTAAAAATTAAAAACAAGCAATTAGACAGTTTTAATCAAAGTTTTTACTTTTAAATTTTTTATATTTTGCGTTTCGTTTTTTACGATAAGCATAAAACAGAAGAAATTATAAATAAAAAAAATAATGTTTTTTTCAAATATACTGTAATTTGAGATGCTTTCAAAAGTGAAAATAATTTTTAAGGCTATCGTCGAGACTCCACAAAAGCCAACCGATGGAGCAATAATAGTTCGTCCGCGTATGTTTACCGATCAAGTAAACAGCTTATTGTTGTTTAATTTTTAGCACTAAGTCTTAAAAAAAAAAAGTAAGCAATTTTTTTTCTGAACGGCAAAAAATGCTTAATTAGTGGAACAATTGAAAAAAGGAGGACTACTTTTTTCATGAAAGTTTTTTTGGCAAAAAAATAATTGAGAAGAACAAAACGATGTTTATATTTTTTTCTCCTTCAGTTGCTCGATAAGATCAACATAAAAGGTGTTTTAATTTCAGTAACCTGTTTTAACAATTACCAAATTTTTTTGTCTCGTTTAGCAAAACATCGTTTGTGATATACGACAAAAAAAGTTGCCAGTTTTTAAAAATCAATGCTGTCTTTTTTTTCTTCGTTTATTTTATTTTTTTTTTTTTTTTGGTACATTACTTTGAATTTACAGAGAAAAGTTTTACCTAATTTTTGTCAACAATAAATAAAAATTTGATAAAGATGATCTATAAGATCTGCCTAAATTGTAGAGTTTTTATAAAATTATGTTGTCAAAGACAAAAGTAACATCGGTTTAAATATTTCAACTGTTTTATGATTTAAAGTTTTTTGTTATTAACAGGAAAAAAAATCTTATCACTTTGTAGCATTTTGGTGATTATTATCACACATTGTTGTAATACGATTAATTTAGGATAAACAGCATATTATTTTAAGATTAAAACCAAACAGTAATGGCACGATAAATTTGGAACGATTTTTAAAGGTAATTCACTGAATAAAACTGCTAATAAGAAGATAACAACTAAAGCATAAATCAGTCTTTCCTGTTTTCAGTTTTTTTAAAACAGATATTGTTCTAAAAAAAATCTTTTTTATTTTTATATTTCAATATTAAGTTAAATGATTTTGTACAATTGTTAATACAGATCAAATAACTGTAAAAAATAATCGTTAATAACCTTCATATAATAAAGCATATTTTTTTTGCTTTATTTTATAGCAACCAGTATGTCAAGAATATATAACAAAAAAAGCTGCATCTGATGGTGAATGGAAATTAGTGGCATTTTTTGAATGGTTTTTTAAGCTTGCTGAAATTGTTAACAAATACCTGTATCAGATGTGGAATGATGGGTACGTATTTGTTTCATTATTTCAAAAAAAAAAACACACACACACAGAAGTAGGATAATTCTTCTTTCTTCTCGTTCTTAAACTAAAGTTGATCTGACAAAAAATGATGGCAACAACAACAAAAAAAAAAAAAAAAAAAAAAAAAAAAAA